GTACTCTAAACTGTATAAATAATGTAAAATTAAATTGAATTTATTAGCCAATCAGACAAACTTCTGCCTATGAAATTTACAGTAAGAAATAAAATATAAAACCCAGAAATTCTAAAAACCATGATAATAAAAGGCATAAATAGGATATAGCGTTTCATATATTGATAATACATATATGTATATAATTTCTAAAGTTATCTACAAAATGATATAACTCTAAAACTAAATTCAAAAATCACAATTTTTAGATTTACTATTTAACTAAAGATTAAGATTAAGAAATAGGTCATTATGCCGTATCAAGAAGGGATGAATCACTTTTAATAGAAGTTATAAATGAAGTATCAATAATATATTCTCTATAATAATTGTTAATTCTTTCCAAACGTTCAACACGTTTTTCTAAATCATCAAGTCGTTTTTGAATTGAGAGATTTTCAGGTTCTTCAGTAATAAGATATTCTTTTTCATTGGATTTATCAGATTGAGAATTTAATAAACTTTGTTGATATTGCCTTTTGAATGGTCGTGATCTTTGTACAAAACCCCATGGAGAAATTAATCCAAGTCCTAAAAGATAGGTTTTTTTTTATAATTAAAAAAAGTTAAAATCATTCCTTATAAGAAAAATGTATCGTAATAGCACGGTTGGTATGGACCAAAACCAAACTTTACACGTAAACGATTCTATTTGGTACGATTTTGTTGACTCAAATAAACAAGAATTTTGGTATGGATAATTAAAAGTATATTCACGAATTTTTCTTGTGCCTTTAATGTGCCATTTACATATCAACATTGATTTCGCGTTATTCTGAATAACGTGAATAACCATTTAATTCGTGATATAAAATATGCATCCACTCGATGCATCCTTGACACAACCAGTGCATCATACTGTACAACTTTTCTTACAAGGATCAATTAAATTTCGGTTTAAAATAGTCAACATACCAAATAAAAATATATAAAAAGCTGTCAAAGCACTCCAGATACCACCGAGAATACCTAACAGGCTCAAAACCTATTTATCCAAAATAATAGTAATTATATACTAAATAAAATATTATATTTTCTTTAAAAAGGTTAATAACATTGACTTACAGTTTTGTTCCTATTATTATCATGATTTATTAAATTATTAATAAGCGATTGTAAATATAAAATTATTATGGAAATTGCTTTTACCTTTGTTCTGTTTCCTCCTTTGTAATAGGAGTGCCTGGAAAAAAGCGCACTCTTCCATAATAAGATACATTGGCTGTCACGTTTATAGTTGTAAATCAATAATAATAATTTTAAAACTTAAAAGCGGATAATAAAATGAGTTATACTAATAGAGATATTATTACTATTTGCGAATATATTATTGAAATATGCAGCCGGAAATGGGAGAGGCTCTATAGTTAATAACACAGTTAATCTTGAAAATTTTTGAAAATAAAGAGAAATAAATATTTAATGTAATTATTCTTACCAATATTTGATTCAATATAAGGCATTCTTTTGTATGTTGGACGACCCAAGTAACTTAAAATATTTGGAATCATAGTATTCCTAATAGTTCTACTGAATGACCACAAATATGTCTACAAATTTCTTAAAACATGTAAATTTATCAATTAAATATTCTTTAAAGATGATCAACTATACACATACGATTCTATCATTTTGAGGTTGCCCTAAATGATATTGATTTTTTTCAAAAGCTGATCTTTCAAATGGAGTTGGTGTACCATCAAGATCTTCAAGATACATATTATAATTATCATATTCTAAAATCATTTATTCAATTATTTCTGTGTTGACTATTAACAAACTCATAAAATAAAGAAGATATACTATAAAATTTTGTAAAACCATACCACTATCAAGTGCTGACATAACTATAGCTTCGTCAGAAACATTATAACTAGGATCAGTGATAACTATATCAAGATCAAATACTGTGTTCCTTGTATCAGAATTTACGATGTAATTTGATAAAAATGCTCCAGAATAAGAAAGTGAATCAGGAATATATATTGGCGCAATGATATATTCACTACAATCACGATATTCTAGAATAATTTGGGTTAGGCATATTACGCGAATAATGTGATATGAAACCAATAATATATAAAAAATAGTTACCTACGAAAGGACTTTCAAGTATACTACAAAAAATGGTAAAATTATGATCATAAGAAAAATACATGTCTGCATTTATTGAAAATTTTTATGTTATTCATTATTTAAGATTATTATTTTTAATATAAAAAAAAAATTTACGTGGTAGGGGAAAACTATCGACTGTAATATAGGTTGTTCTAATGCTAGGCAGCTCGTTACGCACTTCGATACATAATACTATAAGTATAGCAATTAATAATCCTATGGACATGAAGATAACGAAAAATCGAAAGATTTTAACCGACTTTGGCTCGGTTCTATGTGGGTTACGGAATAGATCAATAAACATTTTGTTAATTATGATTTAATTTTAAGAAAAAAATTTTGCATCTATTCCAATAATCGACTCTTATCATCTTTTTAAATATTTCCAATTTGAAACTTGTAAAATTTGATCCAAAGCGCTTAATAAGGCAAAGTTTTTCCTTTCTTGTTCATAAACTCGATAGCCAATTATATCAAATGATTTCTTGGCATTCTAATTCTCTATGTAGAAACTTAATTATTATAATGGTTAGCTAAAAGTAGAATCAAGTAAAAAATTAACGACTATCTAGTCCAAATATACTAAGGAACATACAATGCTCAATTTTTAGTAAACGATACCTCGTTCAGGATAATACAGGAACAATATGCACTATTTGATATATCATGATTGATGGTTAAAAATAGTGATTATTCAATCTAATTTGCTGTATTAATACGATAACAAATCAGTAATAACAAATATCCAAGTAAAAAGCTCGTGTAACGACAAATCGACAGGTTCGGATAATAAATTCCGGTGCAAGTTCATAACCTGTTGTCTAATTATAGGTTTCGATTTTACTACGTACGTATGTACTTATAAAATTTGCTATATATTGTGAGCGGTAGGAAGGCGGTGTCGGAAGCTCGTTAAAACAGATGATCGATGTGGCGCAGTAACGAATAAACGGCTATGTCGATCACCTACCTTAAATGGGTTTACCGGCAGTATACACT